CAACACCGCTAATACCCAATAACATTTGTTCTGCTGACAAGAATCATGAATGTCGAAGAAAAAAACACAAATGTGTGTAATTTACATCTGTCAATCAAAAATACATTAGCTGGAATGTTTGACTATTATTGAATAAATAATCAAAACAAATAAAAACTTGTTAATTCGATACATTGCGCATAAGAACCAAGGTTAGAAACTTGATCTACTTACTTCGGTAATAGACTAAGTGAAGAATAATCTTCCAACCATTGGTTCAGTAACAGCTGGTCTTGTAAGTCTTCAATGGCTGATTCAAGATGCTCCTTGTCACGTTGTTTGAGTCTTCGTAAGGCCCTCTGATTAACGTCCAATTGGGCTGCCTCTTCTACACTCACACAGCCTGATCGAAAGAGAATGAAAAAGAATAAAGTTATGTTTGTTCTAAACTACTAAAGGCAAAGAAAGATAGTTGTTACTTGCAGATAATTATTAATTTCTGAGAATTGAACAGAGAACTCTAACCATTTCACTCAAAGTGACTGCATTGAAAACACACATCAGCAACAACTTTTTCTTTCCTTTGGCAAGATATTCATATTTTCCCCAACAAAATGTTGGCATGACATTAAATTGAGTATCATCAGCCAACTGCCATGATTCATTCCAAAACCAAACCTGTCTGTGATCTTACACATGTACATATAATATATAAATAATAATTTAAACAAACAGTTGTTACTTCATCGTACAGGATATCAGGTAAGGGTAGATGTAAAGTGTAGGTTACAGTGAAAACTATTTATAGTGCCATGGTAACAGGGCTGCATACACCACATTAGCAATGATTCATGGTTTGATTCTAAGTTTATCAGACAGACAGAGACTATCTTAGTTGTATGACAGGGTTATATGACATGGTCTGAAGTTTCAATATGAATGTGTAACAGCACATTCCTGCACTTGATGGCACTCCTTTCAGCTGCTTGCCTCACCTACCATCCCTGTAAAGTTATGAACCAGAGCAATATAGCACTGAGTTCCTATAGGAAATCTATTTCTTCAGATGGTCATATCTCAGCCAATACTTAGCATATTCAATTGGTTTTTGACATTCAGACATTATTTTTGATGCTCTTACAGAAAATGAAGAAAATATTGAGAAATTCCAAAAATAGATTTTTCATGACATCACACTTCACCACTCTATAGCTTCCTGAGTAATACTCTTTTCACACTGGTTTTGCTCAACCCCGTACTTTGCTTAGCCCCGTACTATCCTTAACCCCAGACTATTTTTTTTAGCTTTTCACACACGCTGTTTTTAGTCCCGTACTAGCGCCTATTCCAGAATAAGAAAATTCCCGCTGTTCTCACTGCATTTCGTTAACCCCGGATATCGTGAATGTTATGATTGGACATACTTCGCATCTGGCCAGCTCCGATACGCTCCATTGCGTAGTACCGGACTATTTTTCGTTTCTGTTCTCATTCATTTGCTTAGCACCGCAATTGCGGGGTTAGCAGGAGTTAGCACCACAATTGCGGAGTTAGCCCTGCTATTTTGCAGGGTTAGTTAACCCCGTACTATAGGTGGGGTTAGCCAACTTTAGCCCACTTTGGTAAAAACCAGTCTGAACAGAAAGTGGAATAGGCTTAACCCCGTACTATAGGTGGGGCTAAGACCCCCCTTAACCCCACCTATAGTACGGGATTAAGCAAAATATTGCCAGTGTGAAAACAGTATTAGCTGCTAAAAGGATTACCCAATCATGTATCAAGTATCCACTATCCAGGCAAAACAAAGTTATGTAATCCATGTGCATGTAAGCCTTTTAAAGTTCTGTTCTAATATTGAAATTAAAGACTCCCGATCGGTGACATGATATGGGTCCAGCCACTGAGAGGGTGCTGGGAGGGGAGGGGGAAGGGGTAGGGGAAAATCAGAGTTTCATGTTCCATAACATGAAAGGTAAATAAATACCGTTAATGTCATCATTTAGGGGAAGGTGTATTGTATTTAACATGTAGGGTCCTAATCCTAAAAACTTTGCTGCACAAAGCTACTTTCTTTATTCCTTTAACTTGCCATGAATTCATCTAGACGTATAAAAACAACAACCAAAATGAAAGAAAAGAAAACAACTTCCAGTTACAGTATTGTACTGGTATATCATTCTGAGAAGTGCAGTGATCACGTGCAAAACAAAAACCAAAATCAAAAGATCAGTCAGAAAAGGATTTGTTTTTCAAGAAACTTGAAATTTTAACCCTGAAATGACTGGGTGCTTTTTCATACGGAACCCAATCCCCCCCCCCCCCCCCCTCCGATCTCGAAACTTGGCACATAGACAGGGCATTTTCTGGCAAATAAAGCCCATAAACTTCCTGGTAAATAACATCTATCTCAAATGATTTAAACAAAAATTTATTATTGCTAATTAATTATATAAATCTTCATATACAGTCAAACCTATATTATTTGCCACCTCTCTATAAAGGCCACCTGTCTATAGTACGGGTACCAGTATTTGATTTCTGTGTTTCCCTTGGGTGGCTTTAATTGACAGGTTTGACTGTATTGATGGTAAAAATACAATGTGTACAATACTGGAGAAATGTATGTTTAGAAAGCCCTGGAAGGCTGTGGCACAAAAAATACTGGGTAAACAAATTAAATAAAAAAATAAAAAATAGAAAAAAAACATTTAAAAACATATTATAGATATAAGGTGTGTCTGGGAAGGGGGTGGGGGGGGGGGGGGGGAGAGAGAGAAATGGATTTACTGGATTCTGCCTCCAGCCCTATTCAATAGGAAAATATATAATATACATAATGTATATTAAACTTTGGTGTGATGGAAAAGAGTACAATAGTAAAAGTCTGTTCATTAATTTCAAATAAAAACTACGATATTACCTAGCAAATAAACAAAGTTTTTTATTGACGAAACACAAAGAAATTTTTCAAGAAATGTTAAGGTTATAACTATTTAATTAAATACTTTTAATTTTTTTTTTATTATGTTAAAATGTAAATTGATGTAAATACATGTATATATGAAATGTGAAATATGTGAAATAAAACACCTCGGCAAGAGGACAAGAAAAAGAAAAAAATTAAATAGGCTTAATCCATTGCAGAACTTACTATGCACTTACACAAAGTTTGGAAGAAAAAAATAATCTTGAACCAAATAAATTTGTGGCAAATGAAAATATTGATCAGCAGGTAGAAGTCAAATGGCATACAGATTACAGAATGAATCATTGTAATGTATACCAAACTTAGCACCTCATCAACATTCTTCATCAGCAGCAGCATCACGGTCACCACAATAGCACCAGTCAAAACCACCACCAACCAATACCACCACTAAAACCACTACCACGATCATCGCCATCATGCCTTTGGAATTTGGAATGTTGCATCCCTGGCCCTTCTACCCTTCTCTCATTTATGCAGAGCAAAGTGTACAAAAACGTGAATTCATTCAAGTTCTGAATGGTTTCCTTCAAATGTTGGGGATCAAAGCAATAACTTGATATAAGTATGGCTGTTAATATAACATGTGTTATTAAAGAAATATTCTTGTCCATAATGATGTTAATCATGCAAATGACATCTTAACTTAAGACAACAATAAACAAAGTCAATCAATTGAAAAAACACACAAGAAAATAAAAAATGACACAATCTATCTGACATAAACATAGACGTTAAACAACAATAAACAAAGTCAATCAATTGAAAAAACATAAGTGTAATTTAAGGAGAATTAATTACCAGCGTCTCTCAGTTGCTTTTCAAGATGTGTCAACTCGTTTCCCTTCAACCAAGTTTGAAAAGGGGCTTCTTCCTCAGAACTAAATAACTGTGAAAATGCCGTTTTCAGAACAACGTATATCAGTATACATAACAATAACCTGGACAAATATTTGAAGACAGTCGTTGTCTCATCCGCCATAGTATTGTTTTACGGGTTGTTTACTTATCAAGATCACTTTATAAAGTCCACAATGAAATGAGCGAATGTGTTACAGCCGACAGGACGTTGAAGGAGGCCGACGGGGTTCTACTAGGCCGAGCTCGGGTAGCTAGCGGTCGCCGTATCGCACGGTACCGTGTACTCAGCTACCAGCCCATGGATAAGGGCAAGGATCCGAACATTCGAAATGCAGTCAGCTCAGTTAATCGGTTAAAATATCTGATCCTCGAGAACTAAGTCACTTTTTACAGGAAAATGCAAGGTATGAGTATTATGGTAGGTTATGATCTATTCAAATCCAAACCATGCATCATATAAAATACTATAAACTCACAGAAATCCAGCAAAAAAAAATATGCCAAGACAAGACGACGCGATCCCTGATCGAAGATTTAGCTTCCATTACAGACACCCGATATTCCTAATGTTTATGTTTACAAATTTAACGATTAAATTGACTATTTTATCATTGTTTACATCACTAAATCAAAATTAGCTCTCATGGTGCCTTAAAATTGAATAATGTACTGCTCTATTCACAGAATGATGTTTATGATAAAATCTGATTAAAGACTGTTAATTCGACAGGTCTGACCACAGACTAACAACTCATAAATATTGCAATGCTATATTAATTTTCAGTAGACCTACAACTATGATTACTCATTCTTTTCAAACATTTACTCTCCAACAACTCTGTTTCTAATATCAAAAGAAATGAATATATTAGATTTTCTTCAATAGTTTTCAGTTTCACAATTTCTTTATTTTCTCAGTATTACGTCTTTTCTGGGAGACTTGCAACAACTGGGGAGGCGTTGATCTCTTTCTCTCTTTGTGCATAGTTTTTCAAACAGATGAATATTATCATATCTCGTAGGCCTACTACTTGATATATAACTCCTAACAAATAGGATAAAACAATAGAGATCGTTTTTAAAATAAAGTACACACTACATAAATGTTTGCTCTATTTCAAGCATGCCCTTCCAGGTACGTGTGGAGTGCTCATGAGGCATCTAACAAAGCATAGCCAGTTCGGCATGGCATCCATGGCATCTAATAACACTACAGAGCGCCATCTCCCGCTTTTCGTTTGGTACCAAATTCAACTCTCAAAATACCACGAGTAGGAAGTAAATACATAAAAAGCGAAAGGGATCCAACGACACTTTTTTCAAGAGATGAAAAGGAGATGATTTAAAGCTGCGGCTGAATAACAGCCTCAAACAGCTTCTCGAAGAAAGCAGTCTTTGCATGCATCTGCATCTCAGGGGTGTCCCACATGTAGAGAACGACGTAAGCAGTATGTACCCGCGAGATTGAATAACGAGTGGTGCAATATGTAATGCGTTATATTTCTTATTTTCTTGAATTGTGATTTTCAGGTGAATGTGAGTGACATATATGTAATCTTGTAAAAGAATGCAGTGCTCCAGAGAGTTCAAACTTGGTGTGAAAGCTAATGGATAGATCATTACATGTGTGTTTTTTTAAATAATATTTGTGTTGTTTTCCCAGTCTGACTAGACCTTTATCTAGATAGTCTATGAATATATAATAAGGTAATCTCCAACGTGATTGAACGAAAACAATTCATTAGATATATATATATATATATATATATATATATATATATATATATATATATATATATATATATATATATATATATATATATATATATATATATATGAAATACTCCATACAAAAGGTTCACATTGGCCTAATAAAATATTCTGTCAAGATTGACATTGATCCTATGACTGAGTTGTTAATCAAGTGGGAGATGCATCATTATTTTCTTATGTTTCTCTTTTGGGCAAATTGAGGATTATTGGTGTCATATTTAATGATCATCTGGCACCATACACATCCAAAATGCTTAAGGTCAATAGTAACAGGAATATCATGTTAGCAGTGCACCCGGAGGTGGGTTCCCCCTTACCTTTTTAAGAAGGAATAGATGATTCATGCAGACTTTGACAAATTCAATTTCTACATACCCGGTACTTAATTTCGGTCCACTAGCTGTAATCCATAATCATGCTTTGGGGAAATCTCAAGGAATAACAGCAACAAACTATTATTTAGAAATTACCATTATTTATTTGTTGTTCTATTTTTCAGCCCTCCACCTAAGATGTCAATGAAAAGAATGGAGAGTACAATGACTTGCCACGCCCTCAGACTGAGACCCGGAGAGGAGCTGAAGACTAAACTCCTAGAGTATGTCCAAGAGCACGGCCTCAAAGCAGCATTCATCCTGTCATGTGTTGGCAGCCTCAGGAAAGCGTCTGTAAGAATGGCCGATTCAGTATCGGTGAGTAGAATTACACTTTCCTTTGGATACATTGTATATATTGCATCTATTTATATGTCACTTTAATCTTGATTGGACACACTCTCAAAGAATTCAGAGAAATCAACTCAGCCTAGTCCATCATCTATTGAAACATGAAAAACATTGCATTGATATATTCAATACACAATGCGAACATGATTTCTGCGTTTTAAAATAGGGTAATGAAAGTGCCCCTGAGTTTATTTTATTCAAAGTAGTTGCAGTCATTTTTCTTTTTGAGGAGGTACTGTGTCGGTCATGTGCATGCTCACGTGGTGTCTTAGTTTGCTTGGCCTGTACTGCATATGGTAATTGTGTTCTTGTGTATATGTAAACTTATAAAGACCAAAAGGAATTGACAAAATCTAATCTTACAAGAATCAAAGGTGAGACCGGGCTCATGTAGAGATCAGCATTCACTGTAACACCATATTAATAGAAGAATGTACAGGCCTGCCAACTTCTGGAGTTCAAAAACTGTATTCTTTAATCCCAAAAGTTGTATTTTACTGTCAAAAAATTGTATTTAAAAAAAAATGGATCAATGCCTCTTACAGTTCCTACATACTGTACCGTGCGAGTGTAAAATAGTTTACACCTAGAAAATTGCTACTATAGTATTAATGACTGCTTTGAGAGAAATAGTTGTTTTATTACGCTCAAGGGAAGGTTAGAATTGTGCTATTCCCTGAGGCTTGCCGAGGGGAATAGCCCAATTGTAACCTTCCCGAGAGCGTATGAAAACAACTATTTCTCGAATATTAAAGCAGTCATTAATACTTTTATATGCCGAAAAAAAATAGACTAAAAAATAAAAAATAAAAAATAATTTACATTTTTGTCGAAGACGGGATTCGAACTCTTGCGTACAACAAGATGTGTATCGAAAACCAACGCTTAGACCACTCGGCTATCGCGCGCCGTTAACATGCTTGGCAGTTTTCTCCAATATATACATTAAAATGGATTGAAAACGGCTCCGCGTGAGGGATGCTTCGCAAAAGCTCCATGAAACGGACCCTTCTTTTACTTTTGCAATGCATATTGGCATGAACTTAGATCAAGATCTATCGGCAGATGTTGTTTTTTTGTTTTTGAGAGTTAATTTTCGTCTTCATGTCAACAATGCAAGATAAAATTGTCGGTAAGATCGATCGAGATTCAATTGTATTGAAATTGCCGACCAATTTTTCGCACACGTATGGTATCCTCCATCGCTCAAACCATTTTTTAACATGTAAACCTATGGGGTAACCATGGAGACTGACCTATTTTTTTAATAACCATGGTTATTAAAAATATTGAAATGTTTTAAGCATGGTTACCGGGAATTTTACAGGAACAGTTGAAGTTTATGAATGCAATTCGACCAATCAGATGGCTGGATTTCTTAAGTGAGGTATATAATGGTAATTATTTTATAAATCGTCTACCTGGCATCATCATGATACAGTGGAACCTCATTATAAAGAGCTCAGATATAATGAGGTATCTATTACCCGTATAACAAGGTGATTTTGCTGGTCCCAGCTCTTTATATATTTTTTTTTTTACCCCGTTATAACAAGATTTGTGATTTAAGAATAACAAGGTAATTTCCTTGGTCCCAAGGACCTCGTTATAACGAGTTTCCACTGTACTGTATATTCTCTATACACAGGTGATCAATGTTGACAAGAATCATGAGATTGTTTCACTGGTTGGAACACTATCAGGAGGGCATGGACATCTACATATCAGTTTGTCAGATGAGAAAGGCAAGGTAGGTTCAGGACAATTCTTCTGCTCTACAGGACTGTTGTGGATGAGGGTAGGGGGAGGCTGGGAGAGTCATATTGTTTTGGTCCAATATAAACCAATGTCTACTTTTGAGGGGAGGGGGGGGGGGGGTCTAGATTTTTTTTTTTTAAGGGGTCTTTATACACTTCAATATCTTGGGGTCCAATTTGGGAGCTTTTCAAGTATCCAGCCTTGCTTTATAGATGATGGCCTTCATATGCAGTGGACAAGCAGACAATGAAAAAAATATGATTAAATTAAATAGAGAGAACAAGGGTTTGGGTGTAATTCTGTAAATGTAAAGGAAACTTTATCATACATTTTGGCATCTTTGGTGAATGGACAAATCAGCCTCAGACCGAATGGTAATTTACCTGATGAAATAACTTGTCACAAAATTCTGTTCCAAGATATATTGCAATACAGCATACAACCGGTGGATCAAGTTCTGTATGCGTTTGTCATAATCTACCCGTTGTTTCTCGCTTTTTAGGTGTTTGGAGGACATCTCCTGGGTAGCGCAGAGGTCTTCACCACAGCAGAAGTTGTCCTTGGAGAGCTCCCTCAGCTGGAGTTCCACAGAGAGCCAGACCCTGAGAGCGGTTACGATGAACTTGCGATCCATAAGAGATCCAACCAAAACATAAACTGTGCATCAAACGATTCAAATCATGAGGGTTTGTGTACTGACAGCTGATATCATCTGACCTTTGACACTTGGGAAGTTGCTGGTTTTACAGTGGAAGTAAAAGGAGAACGGTTGAAGCCAAAAGGGTGCTAACTGATATACTTTTACACATAGTTGATACCCTTCTGGCTCTGAAAGACGATATTTCTCATTCCTCGTATATTTTGTTACCTTTATCTCACAACACATGGGATGTCCAATATCTAGGTCTGGAACCCCCAAACGTTCAAAATTTCCACATAGGACTCAAATATTTCAATCTGGACCCCTGACCAAAAAGCCCTGCTTTTATGCCGTTTTAAATTAGCTTAGACTACTGAATTATCCCATCCCAATTGACTCAATACAGAAGCCACCTAGTTCCCAGAGACAATGGGTTAATTATGTTCACTTTAGGCCACCACATACCTCAATATCCAATTAGACTGGTATGCATATATTCTAGGTGAACTTCTATTTCAACACAACAACAAACATTACTTTAAATGTTGATACTCTTATGGCACTATAGTGTAGTTGACTTCATATTGCATCACCAAGATTTAAGCATGTTCCGTTAATACTCGGTATAAAATTAAATAAAAACTCATACAAACTGTTGATTTGGATTTCTGTGTAGTTTAATACATGTATATCTACTTTTATGTACAAATTATTGTCACTTATTTATTACATAGCGAGTCAAAAAAGAGAACCAAGAAAAAAAATAATGAGATTTACTAAATACAAGCCAGTAATAGAGCTTCTCCATATTACAACATACCAGAACATGATCAAATAATTAACAGACCACTGGTGATATTTCTCAATTATGTCAAATTAATGCCAATTATTATAGGGTTTAAAAAAACCGGAGGTGAATGTTCAATCTGCCAGGGCGACACCTATTTATGGGAGCCTACAGTACACTGTACATGTGGCCCTTCCCTTTATAATCAATTATAAAAGAGGCTTTTGTTAACAGATAATATTAAAGATCTGAGAGAAAATTTACACTACTTATCTGTAAAAAGTAGACATTTTCTGTAATATCTGACTGAAATATCATGTATATATTGTCCTCTTTGGCACAAACAATATTGTCTACAAATTGATGTTTGTGTAAAGAGTTGTATTTGTAAATAAAGATATATAAACCTCAACGAATGTGTTAAGACTTTGTTTATTACAAAGGAAGTGAAACTCTACATTCACATCCTAAAAATTTAGAGTAGGCCTACTATCTATTTCAGCTCATATGAAAGAGAGCACTGGTTATGTTCATGCATTTCCATACATGTACCGGGTATTCTCAAGAAATAAAAAGAAGCATTAATGTACTTGCAGGTGAAAATAAGTGGTTTGATGATAAGTTTAATATGTGAATGATTTCCTGTATGAAACGCACTCATTTCCTCCATCCAAAAATGAAATGATGAATTGAATGGAAGTGGAACCAAAAAAAAAACAAACTAATTGTCAATGGTCACATCAAAATGATTTTTTATTTTTGGATGACATGTGGTTAAAAGACTTTTCATTTTTTATCAGATTACAGGGCCCAGGCTGGGTGCAATAACTGATACATGTACCGGTACATCATTTTAATGAGGGGAAGCGAGGTGATTATTGGCAATCACTTTGACTTGAAATTTCTTGAAACTTTCCCATTATTTGTATGCAATTCAGCATTCCTATGTGTGAATCAGAGCTGAATGACACCATTTATAATGCTTCATTGCTCCAACTAGTTGTTTCATGTTTTAAAGTATTGAAAGAAGACAAATAGATCTCCTCACTAAATGTGGAAGCAGGGTGAAGCATAATCTCATGAGTTTCCTTGCAGACATCATATCGTGCAACAATATTTCTACCAAGATGATTCTCCTAACGTCAGAGCCTGATAACAAACTCCAAGAAAATGAGAGTCACACAGGAAAGTCTGTACTTGTAAAGGATTGCGATCAATTAGTCCTTTGAAGCAGAAGCCGGTTGAAGGTACATTCCACATAGTTCCTTGCAGCTGTCTTGTCGTGCACCAACATTTTTACTAAGCCGACTGAATTAGTTGTATCAGAGCTTTATAACCATCTCAAAGATAGGTCCTGATCCTTGTAAAAAGTGGTCATGGGCTGCTGTCATTGTATCAAATGTCCAGTTGAGATGTGAGTCTGGAATAAGAGACTATTTTCAATATTCTGATCATACCTTAGGAGCACCGAAGGCATCTGGCATCCTTTCAATTGTGTACCTGAAAGAAATATAAAGCAACTTGAAAGTAGACTGGGTACTAAAATTGATTCTCTAACATAACAAATTTACTATACAGTGAAAACTTGTTATAGCAAGGTCATTGAGAACAAGAAAATTAATTTCTTATATCAGGAATCTTGTTATATCAGAGCAAAGAAAAATAAGAATATAAAGAGCTGGGACTAGCAAAATCAGCTCGTTATTACACATACCTCGTTATATTAGAGCCCTTTATATTGAGGTTCCACTCTACTTGTTCATTACTCCAATCATAAAGAAAATTTCAGTGTATCTTGTTATTCATTCATCAAAATCATAGAACTTCATCTAAATGACAATGGGGTTGATCAGCAACATAAGAGGCAATTTGAAATATGACATACAATGTTTTCAAATTTACGTTTCGATTCTATTTTTCATCAGCATCTCAAGTACTTGTAATAGTGAGCTTCTACATTCAGGAAAGAAAGATGTAAAATAGAAAAAAATAACTGACCTATGTTGAGAGAGATACATGATGGGCACTCCTGGAATCTTTCGTATTCTCCTCTTCAAATCTCTGTCACAAGTTGCAACAATATAACATTTGTGCTGCATAAAGACAAATAAAGAAGAAACTGTCAACTTTGCCAATGAGAAGATTCGTTTTGTCACATGCTCATGGGAATACTTCACAAATCTACATGTAGTTATAAAGACAATTCAATATGAGAGTCAATCGATTTCAGATAAATACAAAGTGTTTTTTGCAGAAATTTCATGGGAACAATGTGGCTTTTTTAAGTTATTGCACTGCAGAACCCAATACAAATTTGGGTTTTTATGAAATGTGGAGGAAAAAAAATTGTTCTAGTTTGGAAAGTTCAAGTTCTGATTATAGAAGTTTCAAAATAAAGAGCTATTTGTACTGTGAATTCCATCTAATACATTAGACTGCATACTTACCAGCCATACTTTCAGTTGGTATACATCCTTTCCATTTTCTACAATTTATTAAGAGGTGGCTGATCCCGCACTTGCTTTTGTGTGCTAAAATCCTTCCCATAGAGATTGCACACATCCCTACACAGTCAATGAGCATTGAATGCTGGTTCAAGATTGGTCAATGTTTTTATTACCAAATTGAGATTAAAACCAATACTGCTCGTGATCCTGAAGGTGATACTCAATGAGTGAGGTTTCATATGAGAGAGCAGGTTTTTCTCCATATTTCCCAAAAGGGGCTCGACTCTGAACTCGACAAATACCTTGATCAAAACAGTGGTTTAAACATTGTTTTCATCGTAATTCAGAGATTTACCAATTACATGAAGTGAGCCCCCGATGGATAAGTTGGGCCAGCTGTAAGGAATATATCCATGCGCCTATTTTTTTCTCTAGTCCCAAGGGATCATGAGCAGTTACAGTTTAAAAATACCCTTACCCCACGCTTTGCATATCGTGCTGTGCAGCTTTTGAGCAAAAATTAAAACTCGGCTTGTACCACTTTTTTGTCCATTCTGGACAAAAATTGGATGAATATTGCCTAGATTTTTTTTTTTTTTTTGGGGGGGGGGCTGTATCTTTTGATTGAAACATCGGTGAGCCTTGAAATTTGAAATGTGTTCTACTGAGTAGTTAATTTTTCAATTATCCAACTATGATGGTGAAAAACAATCCAAAAGGGAAAATTTAAAAATCGTTCAGACACCCTATCAAAGGCACTTGAAAAGTTGATTTTAGGGGGAAAGAAACATCATTTCTACACCACTGACCTGTGTAACTCTTTGTACAATGCAGTCATCAGCATATGTCCCTGTGTGCATGCAAGGCAGTCTTTCTACCCTTGGATCTTTGGCTGTTCGTAAAGCTACATTATACTTCTTGCCCAGCTTCTCAATCTCAGCCATGACACAGTCTGTAATGCATGGTATACCTGAAAGGATCCGAAAGACAGCTCCAAGTTGATTTTTCTTTAGACTTGATAGGTATCAGGGTCTCATTCATGCCCACTCTGTAATACACATATTTCTACTTTTCAGAGTTGATACAAACCCATCTTAGATGTGATGTAAGTTTAATTTAACCATCACTTACATACAAATCAAACACAAATAACAATTGAAGGTTGAAATGTATTTCTAAAAACAAGCTTGAAAACACCATTCACTGTTTGTTTATTATGTATTTTAAAAACAAGCCAGATAATTACCCAATTTAAATCGGTTTCCTGTTGTTGTCCCCCCCCCCCCCCCCCCCCCCGATTTTCCCCTTAGTTTCTCTATTCTTCCCAATTTTCCCTATTTTTTGCAATTTTCTTACTCAAGAGGGGGGAGTGTTGTTAGATGCCATTTCCCCCCCTCCGAATCCTCTTCTTTTTTTTTTACTCAGGGGGGGGGGGGGGGGGGGGTGTGGTTGAGGGCAAACCCCCCCCCTTTTTTTTATAGTGCTAACTATCACCCCTGTAAAAAGAAAAGATCATATGTAAAATGAAACAACATCTACAATTCCATCTTGAGAAAATAAGCAATTAAAAAAAGTAAGTACTTTTTCTGACTTGCACTGTTGTACCTAAATGAAAACAGAAAATTCACAACAGATATCAATTCAGTTTTGTTCATGCTGAATCCTTAATGAAATGTTAAATTAATTGTTAAGCACCGGTATTGTATGGTTTGAATACTTCAAATACTGCCTATGGGTTATTGTACTACTTTAAAGAAATGCCTTTCTACAGGTGTTATCTTCTCCATTAAAAAAGTAAATAGAATGCTAATTATTAACCTAATTTTGAATTTTCTATACAAATTGAAACATTCAGTTTCCCTTCAATCTCTGGGACAGAATTGCAGCTTACAGTATATTGTATATAGATGAGACTTGTAAAATTTAGCAATGGGAGATAATTAGGTAAAGAATGCTGTGACATATCACTTTGCATAAGAGATCTTTTAGAATTAAAAAAAAAAGGTAGAATTCCATCACCCCTTTGATATCAAAGGAAAGGCACTTACACTTTGCATAGAGGCAATCCATCATGCCTTGCACAAGGTCTATCTTGTTCTTGATGGAGAAGTTGACAAAGTTGGTATCTACGATGACGTAGTAAGGAGGACCTAGTTGGGTGTTGTACTTGAAGAAGAGAGCTGAGGAGTACTGGGGAACTTCCCTCTCTTTCAGTTTGGATGCCATTTCTTTATCTACTTTCCATTTGGGTTTCTCCTTGGGTTTTTCTCTGTCCTTTGCTTTTCTGTAACATATCAGCAGAGAATAGGATATAGACTAGTTCACATCATCTTCATAATAACAAGAATAAATTACGAATACTACTTCTACTAGTACTACTAAATAATAATTATCATCATCTCAATAAGAGGTGGCCAGCAATCTTATTACTACCCACGCTTAACGCTTTAGCCTGGCTACCATAAGGCAGCTACCTGTCATAATCCATTATCCTGCATTACCAAAAGAGATCATTAATGAGGCGAATGGCAGCCAGTGAAAGCCAATCAGAAGGGCCAATATATTATAGGCGCCAGACATGAAAGTGAGATATGATAAACATTGTGCATGCGCTAACTTCCGTTAAGTAAATTTAAATGCAAGCTAATTAATTGTCCGCGATTTGTATTAAGACTGTGCACAACAGTGTAATGAGGTACCCGAGTACACTCCCAGGCTTACAAGCGAATACTCGAATATTCGGACGTCATGTTTTTTTTATAATTTTTGTTTTTGTTGTTGAATTTTTTTTAATTTTTTTTTTTTTTTTGCCACCCCCATACCTTTGGAGCAGTATCCCAGTTCTGTCGCCGAAAACGCATGCAATTTTACCTCGAGTTGCAGTTGAAAGCACCGATTTAATAACAATAATAACAGTAAACAATGCTGTTTTAAAAACCAAAGATGGCAGAATAATCCATTTTCCTACAAGTCCAAACAGAAATCCAGACATTTGGTCCCAGTTTCTGAGTGGTGAGTTTGACAGTGCTTGAGTTGGGAAACATTTTTAACGACGGCATGAGTAAGCGTCGGCCTGGACAGATTTTTTTTTTTTTTTTTTGGCGGCCGAATATTCGGGTACGAGAGTAGTTGTCAACCGTGCGGGTACTCGAGCATTCGACTACACGTCGCAGCTCTAATTTGTATTACAGTACAGGTTAACGAAAAATATTTATATTATATCCTTGCCTCGTTTATCATCAATCCTTATTCTCGGACCAGCACCCCTACCCTTACCACTCAGTGTTATTCAGGGTACGCATATGCATGTTCCCTCCCTTTGAAAACACTCCCCTAAGTCCGGTGTGACTGTTAAGTCAATACGGGCCGATGTTTGTGTGTATTAGTACGAGCCGGACACAGACTTTGTAATTGTAGCGTGAAAAGTACCCTTTAATATTATGGATTTTGGGAACATAATTGCAGTCCCTACGTCCCGGAGTGGGGGGGGGGGGGGCGGGGCGGGGCGGGGCTGGACCCCTACTGGCTAGGAACATCAATGCGGAACTGTTAAACTCTGTACACAGGACATGGGAAGCAAACTGTTGTGCATGTGCAAGGGTTTGTGTCTGAAAACTAGCTTTACATATTTTTCAATACGTGGGAACATAATATAATAATTCTGAAATTGAACTCACATTCTCGAATCTTTCAGAGATATCATGCGCTTCATGGTAGCAACCTTCTTTGTTCTTTTATCCTTCCCCTGAAAGATATAAATAGAAAAAAGGTTTAATGAAAGGAAATACGTTAATAACATATCAAAAAGAGTAATTGACACTTGTTTTTTTCTTACCATGCTGATTTAATGTAGATATAATTGCGCATATGCAATGGTGCATCCGTCGCTGATCTGTATTTCTGTACACAGATCAGTGTGCATGGTGCGGTGCACGCGCTCACATATTTCATTATCACGCTATTATATCCTCTAAAACTGAACGTTGTTAGTACGGTGTCTTTAATGAGTACCTTTCCTTCTCTGAAGTTCTTGCTCTATTTTTCTTTTCAATTTCCTTTCGATATTTATATTTTTTCATCTCCTAATCTTTTCCTTTTCTTTTCTAAACGTGGATTTTTTTTTCCATGTATTTTTTAATATTTTTATTTATTTGTTATTATTATTATTTTTTATTTTTTAATAAAACAAAAAAAATCTTGGGGGGGGGGGGGGGGGGAGGGGGAGGCTGCAGCTCCTAAGCCCAAATCTATCTTGCTCACATTGATCAAAATGTTGATTTATCTAGGCCTATAAATGTCATGTTCTCCTTGCTTCTAATAATTGACACTTGTTTTTTTAATATTGCCCCTATGCACTTCACGCTCCCTACTATACTGCCCACCTTCAACTGTTGCCTGGACCTCGCACCAAGACACGCTACGGAGACCGCTCATTCACAGTTATTGCCCCCAAGTTATGAACGAGAAGCCCCTTCATTAGAATTATTTAAGTCTCTCCTGAAAACCCACCTCTTTTCAAACTGTGTAGCGATCCCCCTCCCCAAGTTAATTGTATTGAGTGTAATTATAATACCTTGCAGTTTAATGATATTGTTATTTTTATTGCATGTTGTATGATATGTATTTTGATATGCATATATAAATTGTTATATCGAATATAATAACTATGAATTTAATCTGTATTTGAATATTTCACTAGGTATATTATAATTATAAGTCCATATCTGGATTATCTGTAATATCAATTTTTTTTTGCCGTTGTCCTTATTTTTTGTAATGTCATATTCTTATTTGCCCTACTTGCAATTCAATATTTTTAACATGTTTCTGTAGTATCTCTCACTCTTCCTTCCTTTTCCTTTCTTCTTTTTCTTAATTGTTGTTGTTGTTGTTGGTAAATGTTTAGTGGCGTTCATTCAGTAATGAATATATACGCCATAAATATCTTCAATTTTATAAGAAAATCAGTTATAGTCTTCATAAGAAAACTGAGAATAAAGATTTGTAATGAAATAATTAATTAATAATTTTTCTTAATTGCGCTTAAAAACATTGCTTTATAAATATAATATATTATTATTATTATTTCTATCTTAGAAATGACTACTTTGATTCTGCGTCTACATTAAAGACGATATCATAGAGCATTTTTTTTGTTGCCAATTATCATGAGAAAAAAATTTGAAAACAAACCATGAAGTCCTTCAACATGTTCAAAGATCATTTTGATTTTAAAAACAGCGAGTACAATTTTTTGTTTGCTTACTTGAAGACATCACTCATTATATTGCTGCGCATTGTTGGTGGTCGGCTAACTAAATTCGCATCGACAATAATTCTTGAGACCGAGGCTTCAAATTGAATGACAGAGAACATATTTTTATAAAACGAAATGCCTCCTACAATTCAGAGTGGGGAAAGAAAGGATCGAGAAAGGAAGTGAGTACATTTATGATCATGAATATATTTGGCCTTCTCATGAAATATGATGACAGGGTGACGGGTCGTATTCGACTTCGAGTGCACAGCACAGCTGCACAGCCGACAGCACAGCGGCGGCGTTCACAGCACACTGACTGCACAGCAGCTCAGCTCTGTGACACTGACACACATTTGCCTATATGGGCATGATGGTGATGGGGAGGTGGAATTCCCCATCCCATGCATAGCCAGGCTGTAGAGGATCGTCCTCATAAATGAGGATATCCTCGTGAACGTGGATAAATCGAACCCTAAAAAATAAGGACCGTCCATATTTTTCGCGGAGGTTATTTCTTTGGCGCTCTGCAGGTTTCGGTTTCCCGTTCCGTGCGTTGGCTATGCGAAAAAACGGATTTGGCGTAGGTCTAGTCTAGATCTAATAAAATACCCCTAGTTCACTGTCTATCGCTCATTCAATGTAAAAGTCAATGTGAAAAACATCAAGAAAAGCTTCTCGGAATCCATTTTTTGCATCGCCATTGCGCAGATCGGAAATAAGAATCATCCGCCAAAATGCGAAATGATTCTTATTTTTTTGCGGACACATCTATCCGCGTTTAAAAAAAGATAATTTTTTGGAAAACAATTTAAATTGAGACTGTATTAACGGTAGATATTCACTTGAATGGTCACATTATTTTCTCCCATTTTTGTACATCATTTTGCTCATTTTTTTGTTCATTGTTTGTTGCATAACTTCGCCACGGTCTATATTATGACAGTGGTTGACCCCTCGTTTTGAAGTATTTTTAAAACACTTCCAGACTAAAAAAAAAATTAATATCGTTCAGTCATTTATAACATATTTCAACAATTTCATGAAACTGCCTTCCCTGAGTCTTTACTCTTGACTCTTGTCTTATACACTAAATCAAATGAAATTAAAAATAGGTCAGCATTTTGTTATGAAAATTGCATGTTTTTAGCTCATTATCCTCAGAATCATTTGGAAGAGCTATCATTACGGTAACACATTTCCTCATTTCTGGTTCAATTATTGACCGATTTCAAATTTGTTGGGGTATGAGTAGAAAGAAGAGCCCACTAGCGAACTCCAAAGTTTGATTGTGAAAGTGTAAGTGTAATGCATTTTTCTAGTCTAAATGCAAAACGTGTTTAATGTTTCCCATCTTATTTCTATTGTTCTCTACAGATCCCGATCATCAACAGGCCCAGCAAGGTAAATGAATCATCCTGTATTTATCTCGAGTATTTACTTCAAAATTATATTAAGAGAAAAGAAGAAATAAATACTTCAATACGAAAAACTAGTTAATGCTAAATGAAAGTGGTAATTGTTTCTCATGTAGCCAATACCCATGGGCTCCAAAGCCTCCCAGTAGAAGTCAAGAAATAGATGAGCTACATTTATGGTGCTCATAGCGTCATTATTCAGCAAAACTGCAAAATCTTAGTATTATTCAATGTTTATCTAGAGTGAATGATATGTTGTGAAAGCAAATTCATGTCATACCATGGCGTAAAACCATATTCTCCAAAAGGTGACCAGGCATTTGATTTACATTACAAGGCAGGTCCGGATGTCATACTCAAAATCTGTGTATTTCCACTTTTGGGAGATACTAAAGTTTTAAAATAAAATTTAGAGTAGTCATTAGTTGTCATACTCTACATGTATTGTTATCACTATCAGTTGAATCTGTATATGGAGACTTTCCAAGCAGTAGATTTTTCTGAATCTCTTTCAATCAAGGTCTGATATTGTTTGTCGAGTCAAGTATGCCAACTCGCTTCCAGACATCCCGTTCGATCCCAAGTTCATCACCTACCCTTTTGAGGCCAATCGCTTTGTCCAGTACAATGCCACATCACTGGAGAGGAACTACAAGCATGAGCTGTTGGCTGAGCATGACCTGGGGGTAACCATCGACCTCATCAACCCCGACACCTACAGAATACCTGGTAAGCTTTGGTTTGAATTGGGTCTCACCTATTCCGCAAATAATTGTATAATGTTTGAGGAAATTTAGTGTATGTGACAGTTTATCATTTCGTTTTTGAAAATAACAATTGTTATATATCAATATATATTATATTTGCTTATTTATGATTCATGGTCAGAAAAATACTTATTGTACTTTATCATTATTGTTATCCAAAAACTGTGTATTTACATGAATGCAGAAGAAAATCAAATCAAATCAAAATCAAATCAAAGTGTATAACCAGAAAATTCAGTGTGCATTAAATGTTTGCAATGTTTAAAGGTGAATAAGTTAATGATGTAACATTTATTTTGTAGAAATTGAATCATTTGTAAAGTGAATCCTGTGTTTCCTGCATAAGCCCTCTAAGGGTGGAATCAAGTGCATATATATAAACCAGTAAATATATATTTAACTAATGTACAAGTAGTTGTTGACATTGCATATCAACCCTAATTTTTTTGTCATTGTAGAGGAACATGTAGAATTGGACCCGGCAGATGAGAAATTACTTGAGGAGGAGATTGCGACACCAGGGGATTCTAAGAGGTGAGTTATTTATTTATGTATCGTTTCCTCACATACAATAACTTGTGAGAAATTATCAGTTTTCAAAACATGTTCGTAGTGTTTGCATATATATGGTTTGAATTGCTTGGAGCAAGCAATGGTTGAGTAGATAACATTTATCGCTAGTAGATGGTATAACTTGAAAACAAATACATTATTTTTATATCAGAATTCTGAATATGTACCCCTCCTATTATGGCAAGGTGGGTTATTGGTAGGGAACATTTCTCTACTATGCTAGAAATCTCTTCTTTTATTGAGCATGGTTGAATTAAAGAATTCATTTATGTCTGTTTATAGACCTTTAATGAAGAGGAAGAGTGCAGGTTATATGCCTTTGACCTCTTTTTTTGTCTTTTGGCCTGAGAAAATGAAATGAAATAGAGAATGATATATAACAATGAGCACTACCAGGTGGTGGTACAAATGTATAGAAGATAATGTATGTATTTGTTAGGTATTTGTCTATGATACCAAGGTTTATGTTGATTTTATATTATATTATGGACAAGGACAATAAATCAATTCAATTCAATAATTCTACTTGTCAAACCAAAGAATTTACATGCAGGGGATATTGCTCATTTTAACAATTTGATATAGCTGCAAAACTTCGTACGAAACAAGAATAATTGCTCAATTTTGTTAAAGGAAGAAATATAACATCCTGTATAAATACCTCTGTTTGCTTGCAGATCTCGACAACATTCCAAGACTGTTTCGTGGCTGAGGAAGACAGAGTACATCTCCAGTGAATACAACAGATCACAACACAGCAAAGACAAAATAGAAACGAAGTAAGTTCGAAAAATATCAGTATACATTTATTTTGTATGTGTACTATCGTAATTATTATATATTTGTTTTAATCAATCTTTTTTCTAGAATGTGTTTTTATGTTTGTTGAGAAAAACAGTAAAGTAATTTTTTTTTTTTTTGGGGGGGGGGGGGGCTTCAGCTTTAA